GGGGTGGGGGACAATGACTGTAATGTTGTGAAATTTGAAGAGAAGAGGAAAAACATCGTATTTAAGGGTTCCAGAACCTCTCATTTTCATTTTCTAGAGCAAATATATGACACTTTGTATTTGATTCATTTGTTTGTTTGTTTTTTTGTTTGTTTATTTATTTTTAGAATTTTGAATCTTTAACAAACAGGCTGGTAATTTTAAGAAGCTGCTAGTTTGCCTATTTTTAGGTTTGAAGGCATGGTCAGTTTGGGCAGTTCTAATACATGTTCACACAGTAGTCCCTATGAGTTTATTAAAACAAATTGTTTTGTCACTTTTTTCTACCCAAAGTCCTAAAGCCTTAAAAGCTTTCATTCTCAATACCGTGGCTGCAGGTTCCTACACAATCAGACTTCTGCCTGCCCCTCTCCTCATACATGTTATCTCAGCTTCAGCACATGGACCTTCATTCAGATGTCAAACACACCCAACTCTTCACAAATCGGGACTTTTGTGCAAAAACTCTCCTCTTCTGAAACTCTTCCCTCATTTTCCCCTAACTGTGTTCATCAAAAATGCATCTTACCTCTCATTTTTCCTGAGAAGGATTGCTGACTGAATAATCCAAATTCAGTCTCCTTTCTGCACTTAGTCATAGCCCTCTGTATGCTTCCTTTACAATGCGTATTCAGCATTCAAATGTTACATTTGCTTGTATAACTTGTTTTAATGTCTTCTTTCTGAGATAAAAAATAATGCATGAGCACAGGGATCATAGCTGTAGTGCTGATCATAGAATCCTCAATGCCTTCCCAATGCCTTCCCCCATGCTCAGCCGTGGTCAGTTCATATTTATTGAGTGATTAAATGCGGTCATGTTCAGAAGTACCCTCTCAGAGGGAAGACAGGGATTGGGGGCCGGGGAGGTGAAGAGATCAACCAAAGAACTTGTATGCATGTATGCATAACCCATGGACACAGACAATAGATGGTAAAGGCCTGGGCTGCAGGCAGGTTAGAAGGGTCAGTCAATGGGGGGTTGAGGGGGGACATATGTAATACTTTCAGCAATAAAGATTAAAAAAACAAAAGTACCCATTTTATGTCAGTCAGGACTACATTTGAGTGATTGTTTGTTTTTGCATTGTAACCTTGTAAAAATTATCAAAATTCATAAACAAAACATGAACTGATGGTGAGTTCTTGTTAATAATATATTTGTTCCTGTCATCATTGTTGTCATTATCATCACTATCATCATTATCGTTGTCATCACCATCACCATCTATATAAGGTTTGTCTTTGATGGTTTTGTCACTCAAACAAAGCCCCTATCTCTAAGCGAGAAATGTATTATGCTAAACCAAGGAACTTTAGAGAGTATGCTTACATTTGCTTTGTATTAATATTGCAGATTTGGGTTTTATTCTGGGTTAAGTTATTTACTTAGTATCATTCTGAATAAAAAATAAAAAACGTTAAAAGTTTAATAAAGTAGCACACACTTCCTTACTCATTTATAAAGCAACAACAATGACAAAAAACAGACCTGAGGGAGTACAAGTGAGTCGGTAGTTTCAATTATGTTACTTTTATCTTCTCCACAGTGTCAGGCAAGTTAAATACATTTTGAGATAAAGAAGACATCTACCTTAGGCATTGCTAAGTGGCACCTTCTTCCATACTTTTCTGTTTAGACTCTGGAATACTTATTATGAGATCGGGGTGTGATTTTATAGAGATGGTTTTAATTATTCAAGCTTGATAGCTCCTAAAGGTGGTGATTTGGCCCCAGCTGGCATTTAGCAATGACTGGAAACATGTTTGGTTATCACAACTGGGTTGTTTAGCAGAACAGGTGCTATGGCACCCAGTGTTTAGAGGTCAGGGCTGCCTGTTAAACATCCTACAATGCCCAAGACAGCTCCCACAAAAAAAGAATTTTCAAGCCCAAAATGTCAAGAGTGCTAAGGCTGAGAAATGTTTTGTAGAGCAATGAAGGGAATGAGCTTCTGCTTGCAATGAGGATGACTGTCACAAACAAAACATTGAGCAAAGAGCTCAGAAAAGAGTACATGAAGTTGTGTTATATGAAGTTAAGAAACAGACTAAACTTTGCTTGGTGATAGAAGGCAGAGTAGTAGTTAATCTTGGTTAACTAGAAGTAGAAACATTACTGGGATTCAAGTAATGCTTTATATTTTTATCTGGGTGGGAGGTGCAAGGATGAATTTATTTGTAAACTAGAGGCCCAATGCAAGAAATTCATGCATTCGGGGGGTCCCTCAGCCTGGCCTGCACCCTGTTGCAGTATGGGAGCCCTCAGGGGATATCCAACTGCTGGCTTCTGCCACCACCTCTGCACTTGCCAGCCATGAGCCCAGCTTCTGTCTGAGTGGTGCAACCACTGTGGGAGCACACTGGCCACCAGGGGACAGCTCCTGTGTTGAGCATCTGTCCCCTGGTGGTCAGTGCGCATCATAGTGACCATCATTCCTCCGTTCGGTCGATTTGCATATTAGCCTTTTATTATATAGGATAATAGGTACCTGTGTACTAAAGTCTCTAGTAGACTCTGAACTTCATCTGCAACTTTGGCTCTTCCTAGCCTTCAGACTAGAATTGGAACATTAGCTCTCCTGGGCCTGCTGGCTTACCTTGCAGGTTTTGGACTTGATAACCTCCATAATTATTTGAGCCAGTTCCTTTCAATAAATTTCTTTCTATATATATACACATCCTATTGGTTCTGGGTTTGTTTTGTTTTCTTTGTTTGTTTGTTTGTAGAACCCTAACTGCTACACAAGGTTAAATTTTGGAATTAACAATAACTTTTCCACTTATGAAACTTGCCATTGGAAATTCAATTCTTTGCTCATCATGGTTTCTTTTTGTATTGTGAGCCCTTCTTCTACAACTCCTACACAAATTCTCCTGAACCTCAATGAAGTATATGTCCATTGTTCTCACCACTTTTCATCTCTCCCATGTCCCCTAACCTTCTTATATTCCTTTGTTTTGAAATACAAGCTCTCCTGCAAACACATGTGTTCAGCTCTCTTCTGAGTAGTCACTTTGCCTAAAGTCAACCATTCATAAGATGTTCATTATTCAAGGACCGATCTCTTAAAAACTGGGGGAAATGAGATGGATTACTAAAGCCCAGAGTTCTCCATTGAAATGGGTGAAGCAACTGTTAAGATTATAGCTAAACTTTCCTTCCTTCCAAGTCCAATTTCCTTCTACATTCTATTATAAGTGCTTGTCCCAGGAGTTTTCCCTAATAAACATTTTACATGCAAATTTCCATCCCAGAATTTGCTTAATAGGGAATTCAGTCCATAGTAGATTGTACCCAGAGAGCTCTAAAAATTAAAATTCTGCAAAAGGCTTCTAGATATATATAATTGGCTGCCTGGATCACAGGAACCCCACCAATGTGGGGTGGTAGTGTGCATAGACCTTGGCACAGGGTAGGTCTGCAAATATTAATCTTTATAGTGGTGCTGTTTGCTGTTAGTGCCTCAGTTTGATCATCTTACAAGGCCTTGCATCCATCCTGCTATTGCTGTGGGTGTTCGTTGCTAAAAAGCTCACAGCTGCTCTTTCCTTTGGAGAATTTCCCTTAACAGCATGGTAGCTGCTCTGCTCAAGATGAATAGCCCCCGACAATGCCTCATGGGGTACAAATGTCTAGAACTTTGCTTCAAGGAGAGACAAACTCTCGTGCTGTTTGTGCTACAGAGATTCCAGTGGATCTGCTTGAATCCATTCTTTCCCTGCAACCATAGTCTTTTTTCATTTCATTTCTATTTTCTTGCCCTCTCCCACTTCCCTTAGACCCCTTCTATTGAAAGCAGCCCTCAATAAATCACATGAACACAAACACATCACCAAGCCTCTGCATCTAGAGAGTCTGACATAAGACAACTAATCCTGCTTTGTGGTTTGGTAGAGGTAAAATTTATATGACGTTTCTTAGTGTGCTTTACAAAAAAGCATATTCTATTATTGTTAGGTGTAGGGTTCTACATTCATACATTAGGCCAAATTTGTTCATCTTTTAAATATATTTTCTAACTTTACTTGACATTTTTCGTGTTATTTTTTTATTTACTGAGATTTGTGAAAATCATTTTTATGTCTCCAAATATAGAAATTAAAAACTTTCTCTGTTCTTTAATTGATTACATTATAAATGGCACTATTTAGACTTAAATCATGAAACTCAAAATTACTCACCTTATTCTCCTCAAAACAATTCAAAGGGCTTCTAATACTTGATCTACATGCAGACTCTTCCTGAATTATTTTATCTCCTCTTTTTAATACAGAGTACATTCTTATGATGTTTTTATTAAGTTAATATTTATTGTTTTCATATCCACTGCTGTTTTGGATCTGCATTTACTTTTGTACTGCAGACTTTATATTTAAGCTATTTTTATTTTTGCCTAAACTAAAACATTTAAAACTTTCTTGACTTATTTAAGAAAAGATCTCCTCCAAATATAAATTTTGCACCCATTGTTGGAAGTTATTTTTTCCTGCCATACATTTAGGTTAAAAATGATATTTCACTACCTTATATTCTCTCTCTTGCACTATTGTTTGACTACCCTTATAATACAAATCATGAGAGCTCCTACAAACTCTTCCCATCATGTGAAGACACCACAAGAAAGCAGCCCTCAGCAAATCAGGAAGAGAATTCTGACCAAGAACCCCCCAGTGCTGGCATGCTGATCTGGAACTAGCAGCCTCCAGAACTAGAAGAAATAAATATTTGCTTTCTAAGACACACAATAATGGGTAACTTTTTGTAGCAGCCTGAGCTAAGACAAACCATGATACTGATTGCAATCATTGTATGTGCTTGGCTTCTGGTATTTAAGTGCCACCACTTGAGCTCCATGTTTCAAGGCTTATCATCCCCAACACCAGCAGGCCATGCAGTTCTGCAATGGCACATGTCTCTTTGGCTCTTGCTTATAGCATAGAGACCACCATTGCACTTTTAAGGATGATAGGCTCTCTCTCACCAGTGCATGTTCTTATGTTTGGTAATTGGCTTCTAATAGCTTAAAAGTATAATTCAGGATAGGAAGTAGAAGCTACTCTACCTGAGATTTTTTTCTTTTTTTTAAATTTTTTTTAGCTGAGATATCCAACAGAGATAGGAAAGTGTATATCTTAGTTTTGAAGCAAATATAATGGATTGAGAACCAGGCCAAAAAGAAAACAAGATGAGGATACAAATTTTATACTTTGACTTAATCTGAAACTCCTAATTGTCCAGGCTGATGTCATTTCTAGAAGCCATGAGAGCTTTCATCATCTAATTTTTAACATTTTCTTGTCATTATTATCATTACTAGAGGCCCAGTACATGGATTTGTGCACCAGTGGGGGTCTCTTGGCCTGGCCTGCACAGATCGGGCCAAAGCAGGCTCTCCAACATTCCCCCAGATTTCAAGACGGTGCAGTCCAGGCCAAAGGACCCCCCTGGTGCATGATTGAGGCCAGGAAGGGATCGCCGGAGGGATCCAGGGCACCCAATCCCAATCAGCCAGACCACAGCAGCAAGCTAACCTACCGGTAGGAGCATGTGCCCCTTGGTGGTCAGTGGGCATCATAGTGACCAGTCGAATGAATGGTCAGACACTTAGCATATTAGCCTTTTATATATATAGACTAGTGGCCCGGTGCACGAAATTCTTGCATGGGGGGTGTCCCTCAGACCGACCTGCCCTCTTCAATCTGGGACCCCTTGGGGAATGTCCGACTGCTGGTTTAGGCCCGATCCCTGTGGGCCTAAACTGACAGTCTCACATTCCCTCTTGCAATACAGGACAGCTGGGTCCAAACTGCTCACCTGCCTGCCTGCCCGATTGACTTTAACCACTCTGCATGCTAGCCTGGTCACCACAACTGCGCCCCACCCCACCGCCGGCCTGATCGCCCCCAACTGCCCTCCCCAGCTGGTCTCCCAGTCTATAATTAGCATATTACACTTCTATTAGTATAGATTAGTATTACACTTTACATTTTCTTTGTTATTTATTTATTTATAAAATTTCATTACAGGATTCAAAAGAAAGAGTATATAATGAAAAGCATGTGACTTGATTACCCTGATCTCACCCACTTCTTCCAAGTAGGAACTGATATTACTTCTTTGAGGGCTCCTATGGATATTCAATGTGTACACATACATATGATTGCACACAGGAATTACATTTTTTTCCTGTAAACACATTATACACTTCTTGTGTACCTCATTTTAAAATGTATTTTTAAGATTGTTGTATATTTATAAAAATGGAGTTGAATTCTCTATTTACTGGATGCATAATATTCCACCATATGCAAATGTTAAATTTATATTACCAATTTATATAGATGAATTTATTAGTAGTTTCCAGTCTTTTGCCATTTACAGTGATAACTTGATTAAATGTAAGTATATTTATTTAAAAATGTACTGGTATGTTTCATTAAGTAAACATGCTATATCAAAGCCTATGGGCATTTATCCTATCTAATGAGGGCTAGACATTGATATCCTTTAGTAGGCACTTTTCATGTTTAAGACTTGGATGAATGAAATCAAAATGAATACACACCAAAAACAAGCCATAGCATATATCCACATTCTATACTTTATTTCAAAGGAGAACTATTTATCTTTAAATAGTGAGCCAAAACCTCTCACAACATTACTAAAAAATTTACCAGATGCACGAAATATTGAGTCAATTTCACTGGCAAGTCTATCCATGATTTGTGTCATCAAGGGACTATTATCACTTTGAGTACTACCAATCATATTTCTCAAATGATTGATCTCTGCATTCATATCTTCAGATTTACTTTTAAATCCTTCTCTAAGCAAATCTTCTTGAACCTAAGAAAAGGTGAGAAGTAAAATGTTTTAAATTCCCATGTTTTTCAAAAATTACATTTTATATTTAAGAATTCTTTCCTTCTACTCTTAAAATTGTTCTCTCTTACACAACCAAAGATAATTTTGCAACAAGGAATAATCCTGTCTTGGACCTAAACACTGAAAGAAAGCATAGTTTACAGTCTTACAAATACTCACATATCCATAGGGTTTTGCTAGAATGCTAAGCCTGACCTGAGGATAAATGTACTATGTGCCAGTCATAATACCAGTTGAGAAGTAACATTAATCTGCTTGTACTAATTCTCAGTCTCACTTGGAATAATATGGCCAACCAAAATGCAGAAAAAAATGGGAAATTATACATGTTCTAGAACTCTATTATGAACATGTACAGAGAGCCAATCAGGAATTCTTCCTTTGCCATATGATAACTTGGGTAGACTCTCCATACATGGGAACAACGCAGCAGGTTTGAAGCTGTTACATCTTGTTTTTTTAATCTGGACATTTCTGATAGTTTATTGTCAGCACAGACCTACCTTAGAGTCTTTGGGTGGTAATAGGGTTCCTGATAATAGGCAATGATCTTGGTAAAGCAAACCAGTTGATGATAATAACAAATACATGTATTTCAAATACCTATTTATTCAGGCCAAATAAGATCATTTCCAAATAACCTAAAATATCACCTCAAACCCTATTTATATTCTACAAGTATTCAGAGATGAGATGCTTGTCCAGACTACTCCAGAGTATATGCACAGAGTAGATTTCAAAGATATTTTTTACAAAGAAAGGGAACAAGGGGAAAATTCAAGGTTTTAACAAATCACAAGTAGTAAATGACAATGGTGTTTCCTCCATGGTCTTGCTGTAACATTCTCCATCCCACCTGAGGTACCAGGACAATGACCATGGAGCACTACTGAGTTCATGGCAGGACTTACCTTTAATTTATGCTCCAATATCATATTCTGCTCTTCTCTTAATATCTCTCTTTCCCTCTCCATCTTCTCCTTCAGTTGCAATATATTTTCCTCGAGACTCCTCTTCTGTGCCTCCATCTGCTGCTGCTGCTCCTGTAGTTTCTGTCTCAGCAACTCCTGATCCTTCTCAACTGCCTCCTTCTTGGCCCGCTCCGCTGCCCCAGGGAGGTTTGACAGAGGGAAGAAAATTAGGTGAGGACTAATCTCTACCCTCCTGAGCTCTGATAACCAACCAAACTGGAAGAGGAGGTGGAATACTCTGAACTGCTCCCTTGCCACACCATCAAGAGCACATTTCAGAGTGTGATGGGAAAGGCCCTGGCTGGCTGATGTGCCCTGGTGTTTTCAGAGTTAGAGAGTATCCCACAGAAGGAGAGAAATCTCCTTGTGTCAGGAGGTTTTGTTCTCGCAGCTGTCAAAGGACAGTGCAGGTACCTGACACTCATTGTGAGCCCAGCCCTGCCCCTTACCTGCCATGGTCTTCATCTCCTCCGTGAGCCCTTTGTCTCCCTGCAGGATGGAATTCTCTGTTGCTGCCTGCGACTGCAGGAACCTCTGGAGAGCCTCATGTGCCTGAGGAGACAAGAAGGAACAAAAAACTTTGATTTTCACTGGGAAAAATAGTGCTTCAAAACGAAGTATGTCCATGTAATTTTTCCTTCATGATTAAAACTGCATCAGCCCTAACCAGTTTGGCTCAGTAGATAGAGCGTCAGCCTGAGGACTCAAGGGTCCCAGGTTCGATTCCGGTCAAGGGCATGTACCTTGGTTGCAGGCACATCCCCAATAGGGTGTGTGCAGGAGGCAGCTGATCGATGTTTCTCTCTCATTGATGTTTCTAACTCTCTATCCCTCTCCCTTCCTTTCTGTAAAAAATCAATAAAATATATATTTTTTTTTAAAAACTGCATCATGATTTCACACAGTTTCCAAACTCCTTAGAGTGACCAGAGCTCTTCATACTCCCTGCAGTCTCTCTCCCAGTGTTACTTTCTTCTCTTCACTCTCCATTCCAGACGGTGAGACCACGTTCAGTTCTACAAACCCACTGTCTCTGGTGCTTTTGTATATTTGCTTTCCAGGGAGAAATGTTGTCTCCAATCAGTATCCTGCTCTCCTCTGCCACTTGCTGACTGTAACTCTAGGCAAGTCATTTTAACCCATCTCTGCCTCTCAGTTCAGATGTGTAAAATGTTGAAAAAAAGTATAGATGCGTCCTAATGCTATATAAAGGATAATAATTCAAATTCTAGGGAAAGAGCTCAATATTGTGTCTTAACAGTAAGAGTTCAATAAATATTAATTACATTGTTATTTAATGCTATTACTTGTATCATCACCTATGTAGCCAATTATCTCAGGTTCATAACTATGATAACCCTGTGTTAGCAATTGTCTACATGTTTGACTTCCTTTTCTCTTTTGATCTGCCTTAAACACAAAGGCTCTGACTTTAACTTGTAAATTGTCTGCCTTTGACACACTGAATATAATATTGTTGGATGGAAAATGATTTTTTTCTCCTGTGTCTCTTATGGATTTCAGAAATCTATATTCATTTTTGAGAATGGGCATTTTGATTCTCTATAGAAAGAAAGACAAAATAACTGGCCTTTTATGCTAAAACAGTCATGACATCCCCATGTTCCCATATTACCCACAACTGATGCTGTGATCGATTTCCAGGAGACCCTCTTACCTTTAATCTGTAGGATCCCTATGCTCCCCTTATTCCTCACCTTCACTCCTTTCCTGGGCACTTGCCAGTAGTCCTGTTCAAGCCTTTTCTTTGCTTCCATGTAGAGCTTGTGACCACCAGGAACAGAGAAAATGCCTGCTGAAATACCTTCCATCAGGGACTTGGAAAGCTGCTCAAGTTTTTCCTGGCAGTATTTAACAGATGCCTCTTCATTCCGCAGCAAGATCTTATCCTGCTTATCCTTTATGATTTCCTGCAAGGGAAGTATAGAGGGGTGTCACCAGGAGAAAGGAACAGAGGAGAAAAAGTTCCAAAGAACCGGGTGGAAGGAAGTCTAGCTGTGGTCCTCATGAGAAAGGCATTCTGTTGGAGAAAGACATGGAATAAAACAGGAATTACAAGGCTTCCTTTACTCACAACCCTGAAAATTCCATGTGAGGCAGGGGAAAGCTTCTAACCTCCCTGGGTCGCAGGTCCTTCATCAAAAATGTTGGTGTTGAATTATCTTATCTCTATGGCTCCTTGAGCTGTAACTTTTGTTAATTCCATCTTCAATGACACAATGATACAACAAGGAGCCATAGGAGTTGAAAATAGCCTGGTATGAGAATCTGTTGAGAGACATTTGGTTCCTGAGAATGGGAGAGTGTTCTCAAGAAAGTGACTAGCCAAGGAATGACTTTTGGGTATTCAGGGCAGGCTTGAATTCAATATAAGTATTCAGTTCAGAAAGATGTCTATGCTAATTATGCATCAGAGACCAGAGAAATTTTTATATAAAGTAGCTGATGTTTGTGGGGAGAAGAAGAAGAAATTGCAGTCTTTTGAACTCTGTCCCTCATTAGAATCCAGACTACTCGATCCATGAGTGAGAGAGAAGGACTGGGGTCAGAAAAGATCTTCCAGGTTTAATTTACAATGGAAAGGTCTCAAAGGGTAAATAAATACTAAGACAAAGTACCACAAGATTCTTCTGGAACACCTGGTTGTCATCCTTGAAGGAGTGCTCCATGAAGATTGCAATGGCTTCCCTCTCACAGGCTGCATGCAGGTCCAGCAGCTCCTGCAGCGTGTCTGTGGGGAAGCTCACTCTCTGGGCCATCTGCTCGCTGTAGTGGTTGGCTGCCTTCTGAACAGCTCTGGAGTTCTCAATTTGGGCCAGAGTTGTCATCGCATTCTCCAAACAAGGCACTGATCCATTGTTGATGGCATCCACATAAGTCACCACCAGAGTCCTTAGCCCTAATAAGCCAGGAAATTTAAGGCATAAATATCAATTTATCACTCAACAGGATCCATTTATGTAAGATTACATTTCTAAATGTCTCTTTCTGCCTTTCTGTCTCTTTCTCTCACACACAAATACACATATATGCATACACACACACATACACACAAACACACCACTTCCTTCTACTATTATTGGAGTACAAGGTTAGTTGGATATTAACAAGAGACCAGGGAGCTAATGAAATCAGAGTCTGATAAAGCCTGATTAAGTAGGAAAAAACAGCCTTACAGTCACGCTGGGGAGTCCACCCAACTAACCAGGATGGGAGAAAAATGGCGCAGGGGTAAAATTTCTATACTAAGTACCTGTGAAGTAAGAGCCAAATAACCAAGCGGAACTAAGAAGCATGTGCAAAAAGAGCCAAAATGCGGACCATAAGTGAGGGAGGGCACAAACCTGGGAAAATCTGGGAAAAGATTGTGTGGGGGAAGGGCACAAGCCCTGAAGAAGACAGGAAAGAGATTGGATAGTTGTAAAGAAAGCCTGCCCTTACCCAAACCCAAAAATAAAAATGGGGAAGGTTCACAAATACCCCAGGGCAGTATCTGCCCACTAGCCTGCCAGCTCTCTGTCTCCCTGAGAGTGTACTTTGCTTTTCACTTTAATAAACCTTGCCACTATCGCGTAAAACTCCTCCTACATCAGGGTCCCTGAAATTCCTTTCACACAACACCACAAAAGAACATATTTCCTCTAGTAACACTATTGTCCCATTGACTTTTAATTTGTATGTTTCTTCAGACCACAAGGCTAACATAATTCAATATTAACCTTTATCTAACATACTAAAGGATATCTGGAAAAAACATAATTTCCCATTGAAAATCTTAGCAGCAAATTGTAGACAGATGAGGCAGGGTAAATGTGATCCTATTTTTTTCTGAATTCTCAAGATTCCCATAAATTTTCAGAGCTTTATGGGCTAATGTGCATTATTAAATTGGTCTAAACACCCAAAATATCCTCTGTATACCTCTTGCAACTCTCATCTAATAAAGAGGGAATATGCAAATTGACTGTCATGCTGTAATGGTCAAGATGGCTGCGCCCACAGCGGAGGCCGAGTTCCCGTAACAAGCCTTAACAAGCAATCAGCAGGGACCTGAGGCTGCATGGTGCAGGGCTGGGGCAGGAGACCTGAGGCTGCACCCCCGCCTGGTGGCACTTGATGGGGGACCTCAGTCCATGCCCCCTGCCCCATGCCATGCCAGGGGACCTCAGGCTGCGCCACCACCCTGGCACCAAGCTGGGAGACCTAAAGCTGCGCCCCCTGCCTGGCAGGGCTTGACGGGTCTGGATCTTGCCCAATGGGGGTGGGGCCAGCCAGGTCTGAGGTATGCGCGGTTGGGCGGGGACTTGACTCTGGGTCCCGCAGTGCACCCCAGACTCTAACAAGAGGAAGATTTTCATATACATTTTACTAATTTTCTTTCATCTCTGACACTTCTATTATAAAGGGCAAATAGCAATATTAAAATATTTCCTCTAATTAATTCCCTTTTAATGTGCACAAATTTTGTGTACTGGACAACTAGTTCATTATAAAGAACTTCAAGTGAGAAAATATATATTCTGTTTTTTAACCCCAGTTAGTGATTCATTAAGATTAGAAGATTTTGTTATATGTATGGATACTGTAGATTTTGATGATAAAGGCTGTAATTTTGGAGAGGAATTTGTAAACACCTAAAAGTGTGATAAATATACACTTGTCATCATGGAGTATGAACATCAATGACTCATAATTCTATATAGAATCAAAAAGAAATCCTGGAGAACACATCCTATAATATATTCAAAAAATATTAGGTCCCACAAAATGTGAAATGGAGACTCACGTTTCCCAGTGACCATGATTCCCTCTCTGAGGGTCTTGGTCCTGGCCTGGGTGAAGATGTAAGAACAGAAATTCTTTGTTTCTTCCTTGAAGTAAGGATCCAATTGTTTTTCCTCAACCTTCTCAATATTGGCTAGGAGTTTTTTGTCATTTGTTGGCCGGTCAAAGACAAAACATTTCCGTCTTGGAAAGAAATTCCGGATGCACTCTCTTCGGAAATTGGATATTTGAGCTTTGTGATTCATGCCTGAAAGATTAAAACAAACAAAAACAAAAACAGGTATTACAATAGAAGCAGTCTAAGGACAAGGGACCTAAAGATTTTTATGACAGGGATTTTTGTATCTTTGCTGTATTCTCTCTGTATAACTTCTGTTTATAACTCCTCTAGCATGGACATCCAAATTCTTCTTTAACATAAAATTTACCATGATACAACTCCAGGGAAAATTTTTTGAAGAGATCAACATAGTTAAAAAACAACAACAATAACCTGTTGCAACTATCAGACCTAAAAATGGTAGAGTATTGTGTGTATTGTCTATATTGCTTACTGTATGAATAACAAAAACATGGGTCAAATGTACGTTTTTGGTCTACTTGATCACATGGGGAAATGAAACTATGGATCAAAATGAAGAGCCCAAACAAGACTTAATGAAGCAATGTTAGAAATAACAGCAGATTATTTAAGGGAAACTGTTTAGATGCTAAAAATGAAGTGTACAGCATTAGCTCTTAAAAAAATAAAAACCTCTGAAGAGTGAAGAGTAAATGTAGCTAAAATGTAATTTTTTAAAATATATTTTATTGATTTTTTACAGAGACGAAGGGAGAGGGATAGAGAGTTAGAAACATCAATGAGAGAGAAACATCGATCAGCTGCCTCCTGCACACCTCCTACTGGGGATGTGCCCGCAACCAAGGTACATGCCCTTGACCTATGTAAGATTACATTTCTAAATGTCTCTTTCTGCCTTTCTGTCTCTTTCTCTCACACACAAATACACATATATGCATACACACACACATACACACAAACACACCACTTCCTTCTACTATTATTGGAGTACAAGGTTAGTTGGATATTAACAAGAGACCAGGGAGCTAATGAAATCAGAGTCTGATAAAGCCTGATTAAGTAGGAAAAAACAGCCTTACAGTCACGCTGGGGAGTCCACCCAACTAACCAGGATGGGAGAAAAATGGCGCAGGGGTAAAATTTCTATACTAAGTACCTGTGAAGTAAGAGCCAAATAACCAAGCGGAACTAAGAAGCATGTGCAAAAAGAGCCAAAATGCGGACCATAAGTGAGGGAGGGCACAAACCTGGGAAAATCTGGGAAAAGATTGTGTGGGGGAAGGGCACAAGCCCTGAAGAAGACAGGAAAGAGATTGGATAGTTGTAAAGAAAGCCTGCCCTTACCCAAACCCAAAAATAAAAATGGGGAAGGTTCACAAATACCCCAGGGCAGTATCTGCCCACTAGCCTGCCAGCTCTCTGTCTCCCTGAGAGTGTACTTTGCTTTTCACTTTAATAAACCTTGCCACTATCGCGTAAAACTCCTCCTACATCAGGGTCCCTGAAATTCCTTTCACACAACACCACAAAAGAACATATTTCCTCTAGTAACACTATTGTCCCATTGACTTTTAATTTGTATGTTTCTTCAGACCACAAGGCTAACATAATTCAATATTAACCTTTATCTAACATACTAAAGGATATCTGGAAAAAACATAATTTCCCATTGAAAATCTTAGCAGCAAATTGTAGACAGATGAGGCAGGGTAAATGTGATCCTATTTTTTTCTGAATTCTCAAGATTCCCATAAATTTTCAGAGCTTTATGGGCTAATGTGCATTATTAAATTGGTCTAAACACCCAAAATATCCTCTGTATACCTCTTGCAACTCTCATCTAATAAAGAGGGAATATGCAAATTGACTGTCATGCTGTAATGGTCAAGATGGCTGCGCCCACAGCGGAGGCCGAGTTCCCGTAACAAGCCTTAACAAGCAATCAGCAGGGACCTGAGGCTGCATGGTGCAGGGCTGGGGCAGGAGACCTGAGGCTGCACCCCCGCCTGGTGGCACTTGATGGGGGACCTCAGTCCATGCCCCCTGCCCCATGCCATGCCAGGGGACCTCAGGCTGCGCCACCACCCTGGCACCAAGCTGGGAGACCTAAAGCTGCGCCCCCTGCCTGGCAGGGCTTGACGGGTCTGGATCTTGCCCAATGGGGGTGGGGCCAGCCAGGTCTGAGGTATGCGCGGTTGGGCGGGGACTTGACTCTGGGTCCCGCAGTGCACCCCAGACTCTAACAAGAGGAAGATTTTCATATACATTTTACTAATTTTCTTTCATCTCTGACACTTCTATTATAAAGGGCAAATAGCAATATTAAAATATTTCCTCTAATTAATTCCCTTTTAATGTGCACAAATTTTGTGTACTGGACAACTAGTTCATTATAAAGAACTTCAAGTGAGAAAATATATATTCTGTTTTTTAACCCCAGTTAGTGATTCATTAAGATTAGAAGATTTTGTTATATGTATGGATACTGTAGATTTTGATGATAAAGGCTGTAATTTTGGAGAGGAATTTGTAAACACCTAAAAGTGTGATAAATATACACTTGTCATCATGGAGTATGAACATCAATGACTCATAATTCTATATAGAATCAAAAAGAAATCCTGGAGAACACATCCTATAATATATTCAAAAAATATTAGGTCCCACAAAATGTGAAATGGAGACTCACGTTTCCCAGTGACCATGATTCCCTCTCTGAGGGTCTTGGTCCTGGCCTGGGTGAAGATGTAAGAACAGAAATTCTTTGTTTCTTCCTTGAAGTAAGGATCCAATTGTTTTTCCTCAACCTTCTCAATATTGGCTAGGAGTTTTTTGTCATTTGTTGGCCGGTCAAAGACAAAACATTTCCGTCTTGGAAAGAAATTCCGGATGCACTCTCTTCGGAAATTGGATATTTGAGCTTTGTGATTCATGCCTGAAAGATTAAAACAAACAAAAACAAAAACAGGTATTACAATAGAAGCAGTCTAAGGACAAGGGACCTAAAGATTTTTATGACAGGGATTTTTGTATCTTTGCTGTATTCTCTCTGTATAACTTCTGTTTATAACTCCTCTAGCATGGACATCCAAATTCTTCTTTAACATAAAATTTACCATGATACAACTCCAGGGAAAATTTTTTGAAGAGATCAACATAGTTAAAAAACAACAACAATAACCTGTTGCAACTATCAGACCTAAAAATGGTAGAGTATTGTGTGTATTGTCTATATTGCTTACTGTATGAATAACAAAAACATGGGTCAAATGTACGTTTTTGGTCTACTTGATCACATGGGGAAATGAAACTATGGATCAAAATGAAGAGCCCAAACAAGACTTAATGAAGCAATGTTAGAAATAACAGCAGATTATTTAAGGGAAACTGTTTAGATGCTAAAAATGAAGTGTACAGCATTAGCTCTTAAAAAAATAAAAACCTCTGAAGAGTGAAGAGTAAATGTAGCTAAAATGTAATTTTTTAAAATATATTTTATTGATTTTTTACAGAGACGAAGGGAGAGGGATAGAGAGTTAGAAACATCAATGAGAGAGAAACATCGATCAGCTGCCTCCTGCACACCTCCTACTGGGGATGTGCCCGCAACCAAGGTACATGCCCTTGACCGGAATCAAACCTGGGACCTTTCAGTCCGCAGGCCAATGCTCTATCCACTGAGCCAAACCGGTTAGGGCTAAAATGGAATTTTAAGATATCACCATTAGTCTCTAAATTCTTTACGGTAAAGAACTATATTTAATCTTATAGTTTTGCTGTGTAGCCTATTTCTCATTGTTTTTGAGAAAGCATGAATAGAAACATGAAATCAAGAGTGTATAAATCAGAAATGATATTCCTTTCAAGGTTTCATCAGATACCTACATGCCCATGTAAATATAACCCATTCATATATTTTCATTATTTTGAAATTATAGCATGGGTAGCCCTGATCAGTTTGGCTCAGTGGATAGAGCGTCGGCCTGCGAACTGAGGGGTCCCGGGTTCAATTCCGGTCAAAGGCATGTACCTTGGTTGTGGGCACATCCTCAGTAGGGGGTGTGCAGGAGGCCGCTGATCAATGTTTCTCTCTCATCAATGTTTCTAATTATCTATCTCCTCTCTCCCTTCTCTGTAAAAAATCAATAAAATATATTTTTAAAAAAAGAAATTATAGATGGGTAAATATGTGGAAATGGAAAAAAGCTATGATACAGAAATAAAGATTTAACATAATTAAAATGTCTATAATTCCCAAAGCAATCTATATATTGAACATAATCCCTCTCAAAATACCAATGGTGTTTTTCACATCACTACAATAAATAATCCAAAAATGTATATGAAACCATAAAAGACCCTGAATTGACACAGAAATACTGAGAAAGAAGGACAAAGTTGGAGGTATCATGCTACCTGATATCAAACTATGAACTATGCTACGGTTATCAAAACAGCATAGTGCTGAATAAAAACAGACATATAGATCAATGGAACTCAACAGAGTCCAGAAATAAACCCACACAAATATGATCAATTAATAGATGACAAAGGAGGCAAAACAACATACAATGGGGTAAAGACAGTTTTTTCAATACATGGTGTGGGGAAAATTGGACAAATACACACACAAAAATGAAACTACATGACCTTCTTAAACCATATACAAGAATAAGCTTAAAATGGATTAAAGGCTTAAATGTAAGTCTCAAAATTACTATAAGAAAACAAAGAAAGTAAAACCTCAGATATTTTTCTTAGCAATGTATTTCTTTTCATATTTCTCCTCTGGTAAGGGAAACAAAATAAATAAACAAATGGGACTACAGCAAACTAAATAGTTTTTGCACAGCAAAGGAAGCCATCAACAAACAAACAACCCCCTGAATGGGTGAATATATTCTCCAATGACATATCTGATAAGGGGTAAATATCCAAAATTTATAAAGTACTTATACTATTCATCATAGGAACAAACAATCTGATTTAAAAGTGAGCTGAGGACCTGAATAAATATTTCTCCAAAGAGGACATACAGGTGGCCAATACAGGTATGAAAAGATGTTCAACGTTGCTAATCATCAGAGAAATGCGAGTTAAAACCACAATGAGATATCACCTCATGCCTGTCTGAGTGGCTCTCATCAATAAATCAACAAAGAATAAGTGTTGGCACTGTTGGTGGGTATGCATATTTGTACAGTTACTATAGAAAAAAGAATGGAGGTTTCTCAAAAGAATTAAAAATAGAACTACCTTATGGCCCAGTGACTTCACTTCTGGTTATATATCTGAAGAAATCCAAAACACTAATTCAAAAGAATACATGACTCCTATATTCATTGCAGCATTATTTACAATAGCCAAGATATGGAAGTAACCTAAGTGCCCCAAAACAGACAAGTAGATAAAGAATAGGTAGTATATATACACAATGGAATACTACTTGATCATAAAAAAGAATGAAATTGTACCTTTTGAGACAGCATGGATGAATCTAGAGAGTACTATGCTCACTGAAATAAGTTTGACAGAGAAAGACACATATCTAATGATTTCACCTATATGTGATTCTAAAGAACAAAATAAACAAACAAAATTAAAATAGATTAATAGATACAGAGAAAAACCTGATGGCTGCATGAAGAGAGGAGCACAGGAGGAGGGGAGGGGGGACCACTGTGTGAAAAAGGTGAAGGGATTAACCAATACAAGTTGGTAGTTACAAAATAGTCATGGGGATGTAAAATACAGCATACGGAATATCCTATAGAATAAGGAAGTAATATGCAAATTGACCATCACACCCTTGCAACATGATGGCTGCCCCCATGTGGTCAAAGATGGCTGCCCCATGTGGTCAAAAGATGGTCGCCACAAGATGGCCAGCAGGGGAGGGCAGTTGTGGGTGATCAGGCCAGCAGGAGAAGACAGTTAAGGGAGACCAGGCTGGCAGGGGAGGGCAGTTGGGGGCAACCATGCCTGCAAAGGAGGGAGGAAAGTTTGGGGTGACCAGGCCAGCAGGGGAAAGCAGTTAGGGGTGACCGGGCTGCAAGGGGAGGGCAGTTGGTGGTGATTGGGCTGGCAGGGGAGCAGTTAGGCATCAATCAGCCTGTGGTTAGGGGGTAATCGGGCTGGCAGGCAGAAGTAGTTAGGGTCAATCAGGCAGGCAGGCAAATGGGATTGGGCCAACAGGGATCAGGCCTAAACCAATAGTCAGACATCCCCTGAGGGGTTCCATATTGGAGAGTGTGCAGCTGGGCTGAGGGACACCCCCGTCTCAGTGCATGAATTTTGTGCACCAGGTGTCTAGTAGTTCATAATATTGTAATAACTATGCATGGTGCCAGGTGACTACTTGAAATATAGTAGGGATCTAGTTGTAAAGTATGCGTTATCTAACCACTATGCTATCTATTTGAAAATAATACAAAATGATCTACACTAATAAAAGAGAAACATGGTAATTGGCGTACGACCGCTACCCTTCCCATTGGCTAATCAGCATATCCTTATGCAAATTAACTGTCAGCCAAGATGGCGGCCGGCAGCCAGGCAGCTGGAAGCGAACATGAGGCTTCCTTGCTTCAGTGACTGCAGACTCCAACGTTCCCCGCCTCACTTGCCGGCCACTGAGTTGCAAATCTAAGCAACTATGTACTATGTTGTAAATAAGAAGCTAAACAAAACCCTAGAAACCAGCTTTCAACCTGCCGGGATCTCAGAGCTGAAGTTATACATTGTTTCGATTATAGAATGGCAAACAAACCAGATACGAAGCCTCAGAGCTAGAGCCAGAGCTAAAGCTGGCCCAGAATAAAATAAAAAAAAAGAGAAAAAAAAGGAGCGGTTGGAAGCTTCAGTCAACAACCGCCAGCCTGAAAGCAGCCCTCAGCCCCTCACCCAGACTGGCCAGGCACCCCAGTGGGGACCCCCACCCTGAAGGGTGTGTGACCAGCTGCAAACAGCCATCATCCCCTCATCCAGGCTGGCCAGGCACCCCAGTGGGGACCCCCACCCTGAAGGGTGTGTGACCAGCTGCAAACAGCCATCATCCCCTCATCCAGGCTGGCCAGGCACCCCAGTGGGGACCCCCACCCTGAAGGGTGTGTGACCAGCTGCAAACAGCCATCATCCCCTCATCCAGGCTGGCCAGGCACCCCAGTGGGGACCCCCACCCTGAAGGGTGTGTGACCAGCTGCAAACAGCCATCATCCCCTCATCCAGGCTGGCCAGGCACCCCAGTGGGGACCCCCACCCTGAAGGGTGTGTGACCAGCTGCAAACAGCCATCATCCCCTCATCCAGGCTGGCCAGGCACCCCAGTGGGGACCCCCACCCTGAAGGGTGTGTGACCAGCTGCAAACAGCCATCATCCCCTCATCCAGGCTGGCCAGGCACCCCAGTGGGGACCCCCACCCTGAAGGGTGTGTGACCAGCTGCAAACAGCCATCATCCCCTCATCCAGGCTGGCCAGGCACCCCAGTGGGGACCCCCACCCTGAAGGGTGTGTGACCAGCTGCAAACAGCCATCATCCCCTCATCCAGGCTGGCCAGGCACCCCAGTGGGGACCCCCACCCTGAAGGGGGTGTGACCAGCTGCAAACAGCCATCATCCCCTCATCCAGGCTGGCCAGGCACCCCAGTGGGGACCCCCACCCTGAAGGGGGTGTGACCAGCTGCAAACAGCCATCATCCCCTCATCCAGGCTGGCCAGGCACCCCAGTGGGGACCCCCACCCTGAAGGGGGTGTGACCAGCTGCAAACAGCCATCATCCCCTCATCCAGGCTGGCCAGGCACCCCAGTGGGGACCCCCACCCTGAAGGGGGTGTGACCAGCTGCAAACAGCCATCATCCCCTCATCCAGGCTGGCCAGGCACCCCAGTGGGGACCCCCACCCTGAAGGGGGTTATAAACTACAATTGAAAAATAAATTATTTTTAAAATAAAAAATCTGATATATAAATTATAATTATATTCTGATAATTATCAAAAATTACACAAATAGATAGATTGAAAAGACAAAATATACTTCTTCAGGCTTATTAGAACATAAAGTCATTTTTATAGATTACATATGTATAAAGACATTAAAAAGTTATATGCCCATTTTAGATGAATTATGTCTAATTACATAAGAGATATTTTTTCATTAGATAGGCTTTTCATTATAATTTTATGCCTACCAAGTATCTGATCAGCTGTTTTCCTCATCACGGAAAAGCAGAAACTAAAAGTAATAAATATAAGTGTCTGGTCTTTAGAAGGTTTTACCACCACTGTATTCAACGTTACAATTGGATTCTAAATGACAAGTGTAAAGAACAAATGGGTTATGAATAGTTTTACTCTACTTTAGGCTCTACTTTTCTTAAGTGAACTTAAACTCCAGTCCATAAAGCTTTTCAACCTATTCCCAGCCACCATTTCTGCAGACTTCTTGTCTAAAGTAGAAACGCAATTCCAATCATGATGTTTAGTAGCTCCCATCTGTTTTGGACCATCCACTGCCCAGCCATGCTCTGTTACCTGGAACCAGCTTCAAGGCATTCTCCAGGTACTCATCTTCTGTGATAGGGTGTCCATTTAACTCCAGCTCCAGGGAGAAATCCCGTACGGCCCAGATAAAGTCTGGAAAGAAACTCACAAACTCTGATGAATCTTCTACTCCATCTGGTGTAGGGGAGGACTTTGCCCTGATGAGTTCTGTCAGCTCTGCCACATAACTAGTACCTGGCTAAGGAAAATAAAGTTTCTACTCATAATTCCCACATTTCTCTGATTAAAAAAATATATATATTACAAACACTCTCTTTTACTCTGGTTCCTTTTGGTCTACCAAAGGCAAGTAAGTGAGAGGGAAGGAGAAACTGACTGGATCTCCATTCCCATTGAAGCCATGACACATGGAAGTTGGGTTCCTGGAAGGATACTGCAGCTGCTCCAGGGCTTGGTGGTTGATGGTGCTCAGGCTGTTGTAGACAAAGCTGCTACACAGAAGCACGGCCAGGGCAAAGATCCACGAGTCATTCTTAGTGTCGCCCTAGAAGTACATTAGGGCAAGACATTTAGGGGTTTACCCATATAGAAATTCATTCAGACACTAAGTCTAACAGTCATTCATTTTATTTCAGGTAACTTACTCACCATGCAAACAAGTAAGTTTGAAGATGGGCATAAATATACATATTAACTTTAACAATTATAAAGACATTTCTTGTGACTATGATTCTTTCATATATAAAAGGATTTTGTCATCACAGGGTTTTCTTTTTAATGAATTGGATGAAATAAAATAACATATAAAGTAATTTAGTGCAGCACCTGGTGTGCTATTAGGTTCAATGAATGGTATTAGCACATATTTATTCTACATATATTTGTTGGTCATGGACTATATAAAATATTCCATAGTTAACATAACTGGGGATATATTCAAGAAATGTTTATGGGAAGCTACTGAATATTTCTACTGTTGTTAAAAATAAAAAGCAGTTTAAAATGACAAATATTACTTTCATGATGACTACTTCAAAGCATGACAAACATCTATAGCAAGGAATATAACAAGAATAATATCTATATGATGCTGACATCAATATAACATATATAAGCATTGAAAACTTTAGCTATAGTAGTAAATGAATGGTGGGAGGGAAGATATCAACAAAAGAACTTGGATGCATATATGCACAAAACATGGACACTGACAATAGCATGCTGAAGGCCTGCTGAGGGGATAGGTATGAGGAAGAGGTGGTATATAGGAGGGGAAGAAGGAAAAAATATGTAATACTTTCAATAATAAATATAAATTTAAGAAGTATTAAATTAAAATTTACAAGTCTAGCATGGAAGACCAGAGTGCTGAAAGTTGAAAGATTTTATATAACATGAAGACTTCCTCAGCATCTTGATTGAAAATTAAAACTTAACAGGTTGTGAATTTGAATAAATGAAGGTATCCTGCAGGTGGGAAGACCCACAGAAGCAAAAGTAGACATGGCCGCACACAGAAGTCTTTTTAATAAAAGTAGAGTTATTTGATCTGACTGGAACAGAGGGTAGGTCAAGAAGTTAAAGCTGGATAGTGAGCCTAGTGCAACCAGATGAAAGACCTTAATGGAGGGGTTAATTTGTTTGTATAAAATACAGCGGGTCTAAATACCGGCACAACACAGAATTTTGTTTTATTATAAACACTGTCTAAAGTTGTTCCCCAGATCAAAAGTGGAAAATACCTAGAAAATTTTGGAATGAAATGCTGATTTGCTGATTTACATTCCAAAGCCCAATTTAAAAAATGATTATAATAAGAAATGGCACTTATGACACACAATAGGTTATTTAGTCAGCAAAACTATTTGATATCCTTTATAATAAAGAGCTAATCTGCTAATTATACTGGACACTGAAATGACCTTCCAGAACAACCTGCGGAACAACCAGTGAGTGGGGGGCAGGGCCAGGAGCCTGTGCCCCCAGGCCAGCCATGGCGGTACTGGCACCCCCCCACCCCCCGCTTCCACAGAGGCAGCGGGAGAGGCGGTGGTGCAGGCTAGTCCAGTCCTGGCGCCACGCCATCTGCAGAGGTGGCCGCAGGTGAGAGGGCCTAAGCCGCAATTGGACATCCGTCAAGGGCTCCCGGGCTGCCAGAGCAATGTCTGACTGCCAGCTTAGGCTCCATCCCCAGGGAGTGGACCTAAGCTGGCAGGTGGACATCCCCCCTGTGGGGTCCTTGACTGGGAAAAGGTGCAGGCCAGGCTGAGAGACCACCCGAGTGCATGAATTTTCATGCACCGGGCCTCTAGTATAAAAGTAAACACAAAATTTTAAGTATTCTTTGGGTAGAAATAGAAAGTTATAGAAATTTAGGTACTAGTTCTAAATAAGTCTCAAACTAAAGCAGAAAAGGGGAAATATTTCATTTTACCCTTTAGTAGAAAACTAAAGTATCAGAAACCCATCTTAAAATGTTGTAGGACAACCACATGCTTTTATAGAACCATTTCATTCCGAGTTGTCTCAAAGTCTTCCAGAATGCTTGGTGAGTACTTGGTGAACTTCACCAGAGGACTGCAAACTTTTTGAGGGCAGGGCTTTTACATGGGTCACTAGTATCTACAGTACTAACTTAGAGATGGGGAATATGGTGCTCAGCAATTGTTTATTAAATTGAATCAAATTATTCACGAGTGCCTAGAAATAAAAGAAAATTTACTCAATGTACCATGACACCATACCTAGAAATAAAAGTCAAACAACCAAGAATTTGCCTGATATATAGATTTCTAGATTTCACAAATAGATCAAGCAGTTGAATTAAAGAGTTCATTATGAGACTATCCAGGTTGAAAACAACTTATCTGTGACCCTCTGCCTTACCTTTTCCACATCGCCCAGGCCCTCAGTGTCCAGAAGGACCAGAGAGCAATCAGGCTTACAGGGGTGAGGGACACACCACATCCAGATGCCCTTGGTTTCAGACTGCACCGTAGAGCCCAGAGGGAAACCTATAAAGGAAGGGGAGACCCAGCTCACAGTGACAACAGACAATCTAAGCAGCCAAGGGGCTACAAAATCAGACTTTTTGGAATGGAATTATCCCAGAATATAAGATGGTGCATTCTCTGTTCTGTAAGAATGCTTTACTTTGTGTGTTATCTATTTGAAGGAGGAGATGAATGTTAACTGTGAAAATGATACCCAGCAAGAGCTCAAAATGGAGGTGAATCCATGAATCAGACATAATAAAGGTCATGAATACCATAATAAGAGTATTTTAAAAATGGTCCAGTAAAGGCCGAATAGAAGTGGATAGAAGAGAGACATCTAAAGAAAAAGAAATTCAGATAGTATTTTTCCAATCAAAATGATAAAAATGACAAATGGTGTGGGAGAGGTTGTTAACAACAATGGGATGTGAACTCACAAAAATCTTTAAACGTGGTGATAGATATGAAAACATCTTTATACATTCATGGGAAAAACAAAATTCTATAGAGAGAGCAAAACATGTTATGAGCAAGAGAGGAGGCACAATTTCAAGACCCCAGTGTTGGCACAGGTAAAAGAAGGAGTATAGACTATGCATTACTAGGAGGGGTTTTCCTTAACAAGAGTAAAACCTGAATATGGTAATTGAATATTTTAAAGTAATAATTTACTGAGGATAATTAAACTTATAAGTTTGTTTTGTTGAGAGGAGTGTAGTTCTCACTTCATGTAACCAGGGAAGAAAACTAATAAGCTGTCATATAGTTAGAGTAAAAACAATTGGCCTCGACCTAAGATAATACCATTAAGGTAGTAATTTATTAGTAAAAATTAGAAATAATAGATTGGTTTGTTGAAAGGCATTTCATTCTTTCTTTATGTGACTAGTGAAAAAAACTAAGAAACTCTGATATAGCAAGAGTCAAAGAATTGTCCTCTGCCTGAGACACCACTCACCGTGATTCTGTCCTGCAAGCCGATTCATCAAGTAGGATTTGCCTGTACGATACAGTCCTACAATGGCCACGACCACCACTGGCTGAGAAATCTGGCCAAGAATCTCTAGAGCTTTCTGATTCACTGACAGCTGCTCATTGTTGTTTTCCACCAGGCAAATGGGGGCCGTCATGTTGGGTCTAGATGCCATGGCAACCTGCCAACCTAGAAGAAATCCCAGTGGAAATAAGCTTACAATGCTATTCTCTGAAGCAGAGTCATGCAAAGCACCCGTCATCTTAAGACAGTGTGTGTGTTCTACTTTCCTTCTGGCACAGTAGCATAGGCCAAGCCCTACAGTGAAAAATTCATCTGTTTTTGGTTCTATACTTACAGTGAATCTCTGGAAGGGCCAACGTGTTCCAATGCTGTGAGGATCTCAGATTGAATATTATTGCTGCACTAGGCAGTCACATCTTGTAATGCAGTTGAGTGGCTCTACCCTATGCCAGGGTCACCACTGAGAAGCAAATCCATCACCTCATGTGAACATCCTCTCCCCAAACTTAAGGTTTAACCAGCTGCTAAAAGGATGCTGAGGAAGGACCTGCCTGGGACCAGAGCAACCTGAGGACACAGCCAAGAAATTTTAAGCCACAGGTTTCATGCATTGCTGGAGGCTAATTCCAGCAGGTCTTAATTATGCAAGAAGTTCAACAGAGGGCTAATGGAACTTGGGGCTTCAGCAGGGCTGAAAATCTGCATGTTATTACCTCCTGCTGAACAGTTGTATGCATTTCCCCTAACCTGATAATCCTTTACTGTTTACCAAACCTTACCTTTGATATGTATATCTACTTTGCTACAGGGAAAATGTGGGAGTAAAAAGCCTGGGTCTGGAGATTCTGAGAGCTTAGTCACTAGAACTAAGTTTCCAGCTGGCTTTCCCCAAAATACCTTCCAAATTCTTATTTCTTCTCTAGTCTCTTCACTCATTTATGTACAGCCCTTCTCCAGATTCCTGAACCCTAGTAGCTGCAAGGAAATACAAGACTGTGACAATGCATCTCACCGTCTTGTAATCCTAGTTGTTGAGAACAGCTGTAGAACTAGTGATGAGTATGACTAGTATTCATCACAGTCTGAGGTTTTAGGTGGACAAGTTGGTTTGACAAGTGACAGACCAATAAAATGTAATATCTGTGGCTCCATTTATGATACTGAAGAGACTGAAGGAGTTTGGGGTTCCAGAAGAGAAACAGCTTTTGATTTTTCTCCTTTTTTAGAAGTCTTCAAAATCCTTTTGACCACAAAGTTTAACAGTCATCCCCTATTCAGAGAAACTGAGTCATGTGATATTTATTTTGTTTTTCAAAATGAAGTGTGCATCAAAATTTAAAAGTAGACAGATATTATAAGCTAATAAAAAGCATATATTAATAAAACAGTCAATAAAGAATATCAAGAAGACCTCACAAATTCTGCATTCTCCAAGTCCTGTTAAAAATATCCGTGTGAAAATATCAAGTGGCTGTGCATTTCCTGGACATGTCTGACCTAGGACTTTGTTAGGGTGGAGAAAGTACTTCTTATATCCCAGGAAGGGCTGTGCTGGTCCGTCCTAATTTTCAGACCATACCAAGAATGAAGCTGAGCCAGGCAGTGTCCTAAGCAAGTTTGAGCCTGAGCAGTGAATTATAGCCTTGTAATGAGACACACTGCTCCTTTCCCAACTTTTAGACTGGGAGCTGGGGGTGAGGCCACAATCATAAGGCAGCACATCTGTGTTTAGCTCTCTTTCTTTCTTTCTTTCTTTCTTTCTTTCTTTCTTTCTTTCTTTCTTTCCTTTCTTTCTTTCATTCTTTCTTTCTTTCTTTCTTTCTTTCTTTCTTTCTTCCTTCCTTCCTTCCTTCCTTCCTTCCTTCCTTCCTTCCTTCCTTCCTTCCTTCCTTCCTTTCTTCCTTTCTTTCTTTCTTTCTTTCTTTCTTTCTTTCTTTCTTTCTTTCTTTCTCTTCCTTCCTTCCTTTCGTTTTTTTCTTTCTTTCTCTCTTTCAATCTTTCTTTTCTTCCTCTTTCTCTTTTTCCATTCAATAAATAAAGGCAAACTAGAGCTCTCTGAGCCAAGTCTGCTCTTGAGAAAAAAATTAAATTTAAAAAAATTAAATTTAAAATTTTGTGTAAGCAGTGAATCTAATGTGGAATTAGAATAGGACCACAAGTCCAACCTAGTGCACATTACAATGAGGAACACTGAGCTCATGCATGAAGAAGCTGCCTCCATGCCCCACCCCATCCCATTAAGCAGCCAGGAGAAGACCCTAATCTCTCAGCTCTCCATGCACCCACATTGTCTGCTATACTTGCTGCTGTCTGGTTATGTGAAGTCCTACTAGGCTGTCACCTCACAACTACCACTGCTCCTAATGAGGAAACTAAAGCCAGCAACTGAGCCCTGCAGTCCAGGCTACCAGGATACAGGTGTCCCTACCTCTCCATTCCTCAGTTTTTTTGAATCAGAAATTGAGAGGCTTAAGCTCAGGACCAAGTTGCTTGCAAAAGAAAGTAGAATTCCAACTTCTGTCCCACAGCTCCTCAGGTCAGTGTGTCACAGAACAACTCCCAGGTCCTTCTCACTCCTCCTTGCTCCCTCTCCTCCTCCCACTTTTCTGTTGCTACTTTACAGAAGTTTTTTTTTTTTTTTTTTAAAAAGAAGCAGAGGAATTTTGTTTTCATTCTTACAGAGGACTCAGCAAAACAACTGAACCTAAAAACAATCATTGATGTAATTTTTTGGTAGGGTCTAAGCATTTGGAAACTGCAGAATAAAAACGCAGCTTAGACTTTATAGTATTTTTAATAGTTGATTAAAATATATGAGAATGAAGTATTTCATCTAAATACCACTTTATAGAATCTTTGGAATACTAAATACAGTTCATACAATAAAGAATGTTTTAATATTTAAATTGCAGGGTAAGGATAATCTCTCTGTTTTTTCACTGTCCCACAGACATCCAGGAAATGTGTGAGATGCGGAGGGGGAAGATGAAGGAAGTGACTGCAACCAGCGCTTCTTAAGAAAGGACAGGTTTGGTTCCTCAGTCACAGAAAGGACTTCAGCCCCTTCAAGCAGGTGATGTAGGATGCATTCCTCCTTCTCACACATTTGAGGACTCTTTGTGCAGCCTGGGAGGGTGCCCAAGAGGGAGCAGCCCATCCCAGGAACAAGCTGTGTCCCCTGCCCTGCAGCAGCCTTCCATCCAAACAGAGGGGCTGAGCTGCCTCCAGTTTACAGTCCCTCCAGCCACCCCTCCTCTGCCCCCACCATCGGCCAGCTGCCTCCAAGGCTGACAGTGAAGAGCCTTCACCTCCAGTGCCAGGTGTGCTGTGCTGGAGCACGCTTTGTTATTGTTGATGTTAGTTAATGAACATGTGCATGGAAATCCAAGTCTCTGAGCTAACTTACCTGTCTCCTAAGCTGCAGACAGCAGATAAATTCTCTCCTCTCACCTTGCTCCTTCTGTGTCTGGCTCCCCGGGGTCCTCACAGTTCTCTTTAGAAGCTGAAAATCAAGCCGGATATTACAGTGAAACAGTTTTCAGTGTGGTTGAGAAGAACCGAAATCGAAAGGACACATCCTTTTCTGGGAAGTTGTGCAGCCGTTTCACCCCTTTCCCCTCCTCACGAAGGAATGTGATGGGCCAGGGTAGGAGGACCTCCTTATCCCACACCCAGAAATCCCTGGCTGGCACCGCCTCCTCATGGGGCTTGTGTTCCCTGACCCCACATGAACACAGCTGCAGGGCTGAATGTGAGCCAGTAACAGCAGGCTGACAGGTCTGCAGCCTGTCTCTCAGAGGTGCTTTGGAAAGGCAATAAAGTGTTTCTTACTCTTGTTGTTGTTTAATTTTATGCTAAGACTGCCTTTTCCTTTGTGGCTTTTTGGAAAACTCTTATTTTTAATTTATCCTTCCTCATTATCAATAACTGTGTGCATAAAACTCTTATTTTCCCAATCAAGAGATAATCACTAGTATTTTGTAGCATATGCTCCCACTTACTGTTGTGTGTTGTTTTTCTTTGTGGTGGCTCTGTGGGGGATTGTAAGGGTTCTGAGTTTACATTTTGAGTGTTTCTTTCAGTGAAATAACATAAAAATACAAACTCAAAAGTGAACATTCAAAATGAACAAAGAAATCATAACCATCAACAAGTTTTTAAAAGTTGACAAGTGCCAAAAGTATTATCTGTATTCTGGTTTTATTGTCTATTAAGTTTCATTCCCCATATTTGCATTTTCATCAGAATAGTAATGCAGAAAAAATATGTAATTGTACAGGATTCCACTCAGACTATTAAAAAAAACTGTAATCAAAGTATTATTGTTATACCTGCTGTCTTCTGGACAGATATAGGTAGGAGCTGTGTTATTAGAACAATTTTGGGTTAGTTTCATTGCTTCTTTTTCTCTGCCTAGAATTATCTGAGTTGGTTTCAAAGACATATAAATGTTAATTCCACTTTCATCAATATGTTTGGTTGAAATCGGCTCTTTGACAACATAGTAAAAACAAAGTAGCAGCAGCTAGATGTTAGATTTATTTTTATAGATTTATCATAAGTAGATTACTAAAATGAAAAACTGTTCCAAGAAAGCTGTTGCATTGAATACAATATCATAACATAAATTAAAAATCTGATAATTGAAATTTCCTTCTTTAATATATGATATAATAATACCGATTATGTTCTCATGGGAATGTTTGTCTTTTAATATGAGATTATATCCTAGACTTCTTATTTTCAGGGTTGTAACATAATCATATTGTGTGATATTAGTTTATCAGTCTTTATAACTTGTCTATATTTGGGATTTTTTAATTTTGGCACTGCTATTGTTTTCCAGCAATACATAGTGGTACATTTCACTGGTACATGTAACATAATTGTGAGGACCATTGCCTTTGCATATTTAAATATGAACAAAGTAAGGGTCTCATTTTTGGATAATCTAAACCTTGAAGGATGTAAATATAAAATAAAGCAAGAAGTGATCAGTGTTAAGAAATGATGGTAGAAAAAAAGGGCTTGTGTCTACAAAAGCAACAGTTATTTATATTAGGAAGGGTTAGGAAGGTTTATAGATGGCTTCAGAGAAAAGTCTTATTTCTGTTGGGTCTTAAAGAATGACTCACTTTTGAAAAAAGAGGGATTGGAGGAAAGAT